TGAAAAGAAAAAGAGGGGGATTCTGGGAGTTGAAGTCCACACAACTTAAAACGGCTGAGAAATGTTGGTCAAGCTACAGACATTCCTTCCTCCCGTTGTCCGCAAAATTTAGCAATTATCAAGTACCGTACGGGAGTTTGCTACCAATAATTTACTGTAGACATTGAAATAGCAGAATAAGAGAGTTGGAAGGGACCTTGGAGGTCTTCTAGTCCAACCCCCTGCTCAATCTATCTATATAAAAATGGATGTGTTTGTGTGTGTGTGTTCCAACATAACTCTGGAACGCCTCAAGCAATTTCAACCAAACTTGGTACACAGATGACTTACTCACTGGAAACAAATACTGTGGAGGGTAAGACACCCCTCTCAGTGTGCAGAGGTGGGCCGCTCCCGATTTGGCCGAACCGGTAGTGGTGATTTGGCTCGGGTCGCAGAACAGGCTGGCCACGCCCCTGAACCAGTTTCCCAGTCTCTTCTGCCATTGCCAGCATCTTTCTGCGCAATTTTCAGTCAACCGATCCTGTGCAAGCAGCGCAAAGCACACGCAAAGCGAACAGATGCAGGAACCCATCCCTGTCAGTGTGTGTGTCCGTGTCTGTACGTTCCAGCATAACTCTGGAACGCCTGGGCCGCTAAATTGAAAAGGACTGAATTACATCTATAGTGTCAACTCACAGTACTTTTGACAGCGATAGTGTGCATTTTGGATTCCAGTTCCGTTAAGATACAGCCTGTTGTGCCTTCAAATGGCTTCTACTGTACAGCACAGTGGAGTTGCCATGGTAATACAGAATTGGGATAAACACATACCCAGGCTACTCAGGGTTATCAGCTAGTTTGCTATAAAATTCAAACATTGCTCTCGATAATTTGCTATAGAAATCAAGCAGGATCATTTACCTGCCCCCCCCGGGGATCACCTGTTCCTCACCTTTCCCCTCTCTTCCAGGTGTTCTTGGTCGAGCGGGCAGGAAGGCGGACGCTACACATGGTGGGCTTATTCGGAATGGGGGTCTGTGCCCTTTTGATGATGACTTCGCTCCTCCTCCTGGTGAGTAGCCGGACCAAGGATGCCGCCTATTGAGCGCTGCATTTCTCTCCGTCCCAATCGGCCGCATCTTGTGGCGGTCAGTTCCGCTGTCCCTTAATCTGAACCAACCGGGTATCCGATTTCCTTTTGCGAGGGAGGAAACAACATGGGTGCCCCTCCACTTCAGTGGGCCCCCAAAAGGAAGCCCTCCTCACCTCAGACGCCCAAACGGAGGTAGTCCTCGAATTACGACTACAACCCGAGCCACACGTTTCTGGTTGTTAAGCAAAACAGTTGTTTTCTGAGTTTGGCTCCATGTTGTCACCTTTCTTAACCCAAAACTCTGTAGTTGTTAAGTTAGCAGCACGGTCGTTAAGCGAATCATTGACCATACGGAGGGGTCCTTGACTTATGACCCCAACAATTGAGCCCAAAATTCCTGCTGTTAAGCGAAGCATTTGTTTGGTGAGTTTTGCTTCATTTTGCAACCTTTCTTGCCTCAGTTGTTAAGCGAATCACCGTGGTCGTTAAGTTAGTCAATCAATTACATAGGCAGTCCTCGCCTTACGACCANCCTCCTCCTCCTCCTCGCATTGATGGTATTCCCTAGTTGACTCATGAAACGCCCGCTAGAAAGCCAACCACTCTCCGAGAGCTTCAGGGACCCCACAAACGCGAGCAGCTCCTCCTCTTGACGCGCCGATATTTAGCGCCGCATCTTCCAGTTGAGTGCGCGGCCGTCTTGAACCAACCGCTTTCTCCCGTCCCCCCCCCTCCTGCCACAGATCTGCGGCCTGGAAAGCCTGTTGGGCACGGAGACCTACTGGCCCCTCTTGATGGGCATCACCGTGGTGCCCTCCATCCTGCAGCTCCTGCTCTTCCCTTTTTGTCCGGAGAGCCCGCGCTACCTGTACATCATCCGGAACAAGGAGTCCAAGGCCAAAGAAAGTGAGTACAGGCAATGCCCCCCACTCACCCACCCCGGCTTACGACCGCAGCCGACGAGCCCTGTCTGCCCGTCGCAAAGCGGGACAGTTGTGAAGTGAGTTTGGCCCGATTTCACAAGCCACTGTCGCCGAGCGTCCGAATTGAGATCACACAACTGCGGGGACGCTGTAGCGATTGTCAAAGTGAGGGCCGTTCGTGAGGCTTCTTTTTCCCCTTGGGGTTGGAACAGTCGCTAAATGAACCGTTGTAAGTTGAAGACCACTTGTAGTAGAACGTTCCCTGGGTAAGATCTGGGGAGGAGCCCAGCCAGCCACGTAGGGTAACTTTCTTCATAGACAGTGGGTACGCAGGAAGCGTAATATATCTTGACTTCAGCCAAGTGAGAAAAAAGAGATGCCTGGGGAATTCTGGGAGTTGAAGTCCATGAGTCTTAAATCAGGGGTCTCCAACCTTGGCCACTTGAAGACTGGTAGACTTCAACTCCCAGAATTCCCCAGCCAGCCACGTAGGGTAACTTTCTTAATAGACGGTGGGTATGCAGTAAGTGTAATATATCTTTATTTCAGCCAAGTGAAGAAAAGAGCTGGCTGGGGAATTCTGGGAGTTGAAGTCCACAGGTCTTAAATCAGGGGTCTCCAACCTTGGCCACTTGAAGACTGGTAGAGTTCAACTCCCAGAATTCCCCAGCCAGCCACGTAGGGTAACTTTCTTAATAGACGGTGGGTATGCAGTAAGTGTAATATATCTTTATTTCAGCCAAGTGAAGAAAAGAGCTGGCTGGGGAATTCTGGGAGTTGAAGTCCACAAGTCTTAAATCAGGGGTCTCCAACCTTGGCAACTTTAAAGACCTGTGGACTTCAACTCCCAGAATTCCCCAGCCAGCCACGTAGGGTAACTTTCTTAATAGATGGTGGGTATGCAGTAAATGTAATATATCTTGATTTCAGCAAACTGGGGGGAAAAGAGATGCCTGGGGAATTCTGGGAGTTGAAGTCCACAAGTCTTAAATCAGGGGTCTCCAACCTTG